GTTTGTGGATGAAGTACTGACGGGAATATTTGTTCCTAACAGAAAATAAGTAACGGGAAGACGCAGATAACTGCGTAACCGTTTCTGCCATCAGTCGGTACTTTCAAGACTGTTGACAGCATTTATTTGAATACTTGTGCTGTAATTGCTGTTTGAGTTCATAAGATTGCTTGGTTTATATTTTTATTTATTTATTACCATCGAGTAGAATAAGTAGCTAGCTCTATGGAGCAGTCCTTTGTGAGAAGCTAATATTTATTCAGCCAGTTTAGAAGTTCCCCATATTTTATGGAACGTGAAATTTCATTACTGTGTTCACAAGAGCCTACAAAGTCCTTATCCTGAGCCAGATAAATCCAATTCATGTCCCCAAACCTCTTTTCCCTAGTCCATTTTAATAATATCTTCCTATTTGTGCCTGGGTGTTAAGTGTAGTATCTTTCCTTAAGGCTTTCAGACCATGCATACTACACGCCCTGCCCATCTTATCCTCCATGATTTGATCATCCAAATTATATATGGTGAAGAGTACGCATCTTTCACCTCTTTTAGTAATGTTCAGAAATGAGACTAGACGAAACGTGTTTTCCGTAGACTGTGGACAGTGTTCAGCGTAGTTTTAGTATGTGCACAGCGATCTGACTTCTGTGTAGATTTTGTATCGTGTTCACATATTATATCTTCGGAATTGTAAGGCCATATAAACATCTAAATAAAGAAAAGTATCTAGTTGTTAAAATGATAAGCAATTTTGACTTTCCAACTTCTTCCTTAGACGTTCCACTTTAAGTGGGTTTTCTTTGATTTTCTCAGCCATAAATTCTACAAAATTTTAAAACTTCACTAGATATTCTTATGACATCTCATGTATGTTTAGATGCTTATAAATTCATGAATTTGCTTTCATGCCTGTACCCATTCAATAATTTATTTGAAACAGTTGAGAAGATCAATTAGATCGAAGTGCTAAGGTTCAAAGAATGAATCAGATGTTACTGTGGTGTTACATTCTCAGTGGCACGGGTAGGATTGTGTTTTGGGGTCACAAAACAACGCATTCTGTGAGATTTTGCATAGCTGTCTGCCTGTGATAAAATTAAAAGTGAAGCCGTCTGCTTTCCTCAGCATCTTAACAAATTTATTGCATAAAAATGAATGGTCAGCTTCACGTTCCGGACGTTTTAACCTCAACGAAAGAGCCTCAGAACCTGTTGTGTGGGCCTCAAAGTCAGTCTGGGTGATGTGGAAAGATAAAAAGTCTGTGGTAAAGGAAACGTGCTTTACATTAATGTTTCATGTACTCCATCTTCATTGTTTTCAAGCTTTCAAACAATTCCTCGTGCATTAAATTCCCTGTAGATTGATAACTATTGGCCTTGGTCGATGAATAAGGATAAGACCTTGAAGTGGAAGGAACAAGTATCATTGTGTGGTCGGTGTTACCGAACTGTGGGGAGAGAAGGCAAACGTGTCACGTGATTGGTCATTTGCACAGGTAAAGAACACAGTGAAGGCTCAAGATGAGAATCAAATACGGAGTGCTACGCGGAAGAGTCGGTCAAGATGGCTACAGTCTTTGCATTTGTGAATTTCCTTGTTTTCTGCATGACTGCACAAAGTGCTCCTAGGCCCGAAGTGATTGATTTAGGCTACGGGCTAGACGACAAGACGCAGTTTTGGCCCGGAACACAGAGGTTCAATGTTACTCTCGAGTTGAGAGTCAAAAATAAATCCGGAATCCCGTGGTAAGAATGTCGCCGCCAGGAAAGTTTGATACTATAGTGGTTATTTGATCTTTTCTTTGCATTAAATGAATAAAATTAAATTATTGTGGTGGTATTCTGTTTTATATTTAAGCTACCACGAACAGCTCAATAGAAGTAGGATTTGAGGTTTTCACGTTGGTAAGTCCGAAGATCACTGTCTTCTGGGTTACTTATTGCCCTGATGATGGACTCAGTAAGGACCTCTGAAACGCTGATAAACATCTACCAGGCTACACGGAATTACAACCCAGAAGACAGCCATATTTGCTCAGCCAGTGTTCACTAAATTTGTTACTAGTGGTTTATACAAAGAAATATGTCGGGACAATTTTCGATTCGTATCAATCAGTTATAATCTCTACTTTTTTAAAGCTCAAAAGTTGGCTGTTCATGCAGAAATTGGTGCATACCGTTTCTCGTTGAAACTTGTAAAAACAATTGATATTCTACTGTACGTATAGTTGTGGTTATGAAACATGCCTTAACGTCAAAGGAAGATGAAGGAAAAACGAGTTTCTTCGGAGAATTTTCGGAACTTAGAGAAACTGGCCAGTTTATACGTTACATAACATACCACGTAATTAATGCATTTCATGTAGTATTGTTGTAATAGAGTAATCTATCAAGTTACTGTGGACTGGGCAAGTAAATGGGACAGGGAAGTCAAGGAATGCGTACATAATAGAATATGATCAGTCAAAAGACCGAGAAGGTTATAGTAAGATAGTGTTTGTGGATGAAGTACTGACGGGAATATTTGTTCCTAACAGAAAATAAGTAACGGGAAGACGCAGATAACTGCGTAACCGTTTCTGCCATCAGTCGGTACTTTCAAGACTGTTGACAGCATTTATTTGAATACTTGTGCTGTAATTGCTGTTTGAGTTCATAAGATTGCTTGGTTTATATTTTTATTTATTTATTACCATCGAGTAGAATAAGTAGCTAGCTCTATGGAGCAGTCCTTTGTGAGAAGCTAATATTTATTCAGCCAGTTTAGAAGTTCCCCATATTTTATGGAACGTGAAATTTCATTACTGTGTTCACAAGAGCCTACAAAGTCCTTATCCTGAGCCAGATAAATCCAATTCATGTCCCCAAACCTCTTTTCCCTAGTCCATTTTAATAATATCTTCCTATTTGTGCCTGGGTGTTAAGTGTAGTATCTTTCCTTAAGGCTTTCAGACCATGCATACTACACGCCCTGCCCATCTTATCCTCCATGATTTGATCATCCAAATTATATATGGTGAAGAGTACGCATCTTTCACCTCTTTTAGTAATGTTCAGAAATGAGACTAGACGAAACGTGTTTTCCGTAGACTGTGGACAGTGTTCAGCGTAGTTTTAGTATGTGCACAGCGATCTGACTTCTGTGTAGATTTTGTATCGTGTTCACATATTATATCTTCGGAATTGTAAGGCCATATAAACATCTAAATAAAGAAAAGTATCTAGTTGTTAAAATGATAAGCAATTTTGACTTTCCAACTTCTTCCTTAGACGTTCCACTTTAAGTGGGTTTTCTTTGATTTTCTCAGCCATAAATTCTACAAAATTTTAAAACTTCACTAGATATTCTTATGACATCTCATGTATGTTTAGATGCTTATAAATTCATGAATTTGCTTTCATGCCTGTACCCATTCAATAATTTATTTGAAACAGTTGAGAAGATCAATTAGATCGAAGTGCTAAGGTTCAAAGAATGAATCAGATGTTACTGTGGTGTTACATTCTCAGTGGCACGGGTAGGATTGTGTTTTGGGGTCACAAAACAACGCATTCTGTGAGATTTTGCATAGCTGTCTGCCTGTGATAAAATTAAAAGTGAAGCCGTCTGCTTTCCTCAGCATCTTAACAAATTTATTGCATAAAAATGAATGGTCAGCTTCACGTTCCGGACGTTTTAACCTCAACGAAAGAGCCTCAGAACCTGTTGTGTGGGCCTCAAAGTCAGTCTGGGTGATGTGGAAAGATAAAAAGTCTGTGGTAAAGGAAACGTGCTTTACATTAATGTTTCATGTACTCCATCTTCATTGTTTTCAAGCTTTCAAACAATTCCTCGTGCATTAAATTCCCTGTAGATTGATAACTATTGGCCTTGGTCGATGAATAAGGATAAGACCTTGAAGTGGAAGGAACAAGTATCATTGTGTGGTCGGTGTTACCGAACTGTGGGGAGAGAAGGCAAACGTGTCACGTGATTGGTCATTTGCACAGGTAAAGAACACAGTGAAGGCTCAAGATGAGAATCAAATACGGAGTGCTACGCGGAAGAGTCGGTCAAGATGGCTACAGTCTTTGCATTTGTGAATTTCCTTGTTTTCTGCATGACTGCACAAAGTGCTCCTAGGCCCGAAGTGATTGATTTAGGCTACGGGCTAGACGACAAGACGCAGTTTTGGCCCGGAACACAGAGGTTCAATGTTACTCTCGAGTTGAGAGTCAAAAATAAATCCGGAATCCCGTGGTAAGAATGTCGCCGCCAGGAAAGTTTGATACTATAGTGGTTATTTGATCTTTTCTTTGCATTAAATGAATAAAATTAAATTATTGTGGTGGTATTCTGTTTTATATTTAAGCTACCACGAACAGCTCAATAGAAGTAGGATTTGAGGTTTTCACGTTGGTAAGTCCGAAGATCACTGTCTTCTGGGTTACTTATTGCCCTGATGATGGACTCAGTAAGGACCTCTGAAACGCTGATAAACATCTACCAGGCTACACGGAATTACAACCCAGAAGACAGCCATATTTGCTCAGCCAGTGTTCACTAAATTTGTTACTAGTGGTTTATACAAAGAAATATGTCGGGACAATTTTCGATTCGTATCAATCAGTTATAATCTCTACTTTTTTAAAGCTCAAAAGTTGGCTGTTCATGCAGAAATTGGTGCATACCGTTTCTCGTTGAAACTTGTAAAAACAATTGATATTCTACTGTACGTATAGTTGTGGTTATGAAACATGCCTTAACGTCAAAGGAAGATGAAGGAAAAACGAGTTTCTTCGGAGAATTTTCGGAACTTAGAGAAACTGGCCAGTTTATACGTTACATAACATACCACGTAATTAATGCATTTCATGTAGTATTGTTGTAATAGAGTAATCTATCAAGTTACTGTGGACTGGGCAAGTAAATGGGACAGGGAAGTCAAGGAATGCGTACATAATAGAATATGATCAGTCAAAAGACCGAGAAGGTTATAGTAAGATAATATTAAAACAGATCTTCGGGAAATAGGTTGGAAGGGTGGATTCCTATATTTTGTCCATCGGCTAAAATTCTTAAAAAAAGCACAACGTTTCGGAAAATAAATCTGTTTCTGTCTTCAGGAATAAACATGATGAATACCTGAGTCTAACCTCCATCTCAGCAGATAGTAGATGTTTTATTTGTTAGTAATGTTTTTAAAATAAAATTTATTGCTCGTCAATTCTCCGGGCTTCAGAAGGTTAAAATTATTAATCCAGTCATTCACCTGCAGAGCCTGAGAAGAATCGCGGTAACCCGATCGAAATTCAAACCATGTACATTCCGAGTACAAGTCCTGCGTTTTGCTGTTATATACTCCAATACACTCACGTCCTTTGCGGAAGGGAAGGAACGGACATTGTAAGTCAGAACCAAGGTCTTTCGTCCCTGCTTATAACAATGAAGAAATGTGGTGTCACGCCGATTTGTGAGTTCGGCTGTAGTCGTCCTTTTTTGTTACGAAGTTTGGCGGACAAATAAGCTTTGCTATTGTGCGTCCTATTTTACGCGATGACACAGTGAATATATGAGCTCTATTATCGATGTTTTGGAGATCCTGTCTGCATCTTAAGGGACGTATGTCAATATTTTAATACAGGTCTGTATGATACTCAGAAATTAAAAGCAACAAAATGGCTGTCTTCTGTGTAGAGACACTGTGTGATCTTGTTCTTCTAAAACACTCTTAGCCACCTTCAAGACCACGCGACGTAACAACTCATGAGATCACCATCAATATTTTTACCATAATCTAGAATTTGAAACGCAATGGAACATATTAAATACAATTCAAATTAAGCGTAACTAATAATTTGTTTTTAAACCTTTAAATTTTAGGTTAGCTATGAACACATTCGAGACTTCTGATCACATTGGTACACACGTGGATGCACCGTTTCATTTTAATGAAAAAGGCTGGAAAATAGGAGAAATTCCTTTGCACCGGTTTATGGTGAGGGGTGAGTTAAACTTAAATTCATATCCTAACAAAAGAATAAACATGTAATCCATTTCGGAGCACGCAGACATTTCTAGTGCGTTCTTGTAGCGATTTCACAACCTGCATTTGTCTCCTCAATGTTGCAGATAAAATTAGTTTGAAATATCAACAATTCTCTGCCTTGGCTCATGTAATTTGTTGCTGACGAAGAAAATTAAAACCATAAACATTCACAAGCATAATCTGATATTCTTTTTGAATATTTACCATGTCAAAAAATATTTCGGATAAAAATTATAGAAGATGCTTCGCGTTTTATAGTTTAAATTAGCCTTTACGTCGCTTATAGATCAGTGGATATAAACTGGAAACCAAATTTATTCTGGTCACAGTAACGGACTGTTCACTGTCTCAAGGCTGACGAGTTTTTAACTAGATTACTGCCACTTCGTCAGAACACCAATTTGCTGCACCATAAACCACTTTAGCCTGCAAGTCATGACAGTACGTAAGAATACAAATGTGACTTTCATTTCTATGCCTTGTGCGTCTACCTAGATCTCACAGTTTCAATGAAAAATATATAACTCTCTGTATTAAATTGCACTATATTATTGTCAAATAGATCTGACTTTTCTTTTTTTTACATTGGAGTCCCTCTTATTTTTATTAAGGCTGAATACGTCAGAACCAAATCCCTTTCGCAGTTCAATAATCCAGACTTTATTTCTATTGCAGATATTATCACCACAAACATAATTAAATATATGGACGTATGAAATGGTATTATCTGTTTCATCATTGAAATTTCTTATGTTGGGAAGTCAAAAATATGTTGGTAAATTACGTATAGAAATAGTGCTGTTTACTCTAGTGAAAAGTAATTTATAAAATATTTGGCGAATGTGCCGGCGGAACGTCATCGCCTTTCTCCTATGCGCGATCACTGCTTTGGTAGCCGCGTTTCCTGGCACAGTCACCAAATATCGCAGCCACTATGTGAACGGAAGCTGACAGTTTTTATTAACCTTTAACATTATCTGTCCATAGGAGTATTAATCGACGTTTCCAATAAGGTAAAAGGCAACAACGATTTCGTTCTTGAACGAGAAGACATCAAGGAGTGGGAATCTCAACATGGCATCATACCAGATGAATCGATAGTTCTTTTCCGGTTTGGATGGTCGTCTCGTTACTATGACAACCGAACTGCTTACTTCGGATTTGGAAATAGCAACTCATCAATAATGAATTATCCTAGTAAGCAGGATACAGGGGCTAATGTACCACAGGGGCAGTTTGTCCCTTCAAGTAGAACAGTTTCATTAAAATCGAAATTTGTATGAACAGTGCTGCCTCCATTATCAGATTGTTGAAACACAGCAAACATCTGTGAAACTTCTACCAAACTACGCGGCGCAACATCACAGAAGTCTGTCATTTTATAAATAATCGCTGTTTATTCTGAGAATCATACATAACCCCAATTTGCACTCTGTGAAAAATACAAAACAATTTAGCGTAAAATTATTCTACGTAGTCATACTGTGAGTCCGTAACGAGCACCAGGTAGAGAACAATACTTTTAATAAGTAGAAAACGTTTACGTTTGTTATATAAGAGATATTTTGGAAGAATTTTGCACGCGGTGTACGATCTCCGTTGTTCTTTTATTTGTACAGGTCTCTCTAAAGACGCTGCCAAGTACATTGTTGAATGCGGAAATGTGTTTGGTGTTGGTGTTGACACCCCGTCTCTGGATCCTGGGAAGGTTGTTTCTGGTGAAGCTCATCAGACGTTGTTAGGCGCACAAATATTTGGGATTGAAAATCTTAATTTGGAAAACGATGCGCTGCCAGGTAATTCACGTACTCAAGAATCAACGCCACTAATATTAAAAAACATTATGACGTCACTAGTGTATTTTGGTGAAAGCATCAGAATTGCTACGCTCTGCTTACGTTTCCTAACTTGTTTAATGTCGTGGCGAAGACATAACTTCCAGCGTCTCTGTCATTTATTCAGTTTATTCCTTCCAAAGGTTGCGTGTTGCATTGTTTAATTAAGATTTTAAGATATTAGAATGTTGTGTTATGTCACAGCACGTTTGGAAAAAAAAATAGTTTGTGTGACATTAATTCTGGTTTCCCTTCTGACCCTAGCGTCGTTCTTAAACCATTATTGCATACAATTCCACATCTGCCCTAACTTTAATTTTAAAATAAAACTCATCATTTTAAACATTTCGAGGTGTCCTCTCGCTCTGTTTCGAAAATGAATGCAAATCCTTCAGTGCAATTATTTGTCTTCCTGCTTTTCAATTAATTAAATCCGCCACTGTATTACCTTTAAAATGTAGACTCATTTTGAACTGAATTAAATCTGATACTACATACATTTCCAAACAAGTTATTTTTGTAAATTTAATAAAAAAAAATGGCTTCCATATTCGCTCGAATGTGAGGCACGGAAAATACGCACCTACATAATTCTTCTTTTTTTTCCAGCGACAGGTTTCATGCTGCATGTTCTGCCAATGAAGATCACGCACGGAACTGGAGCTCCCTGCCGTGTTATTGCATTCCTGGGCCACAGAGTGCGTCGTTTGTGATGTAGCGTAAAGCCGGATCATGACGTTCTAAGAAACTTTGGAATTAACAACGAAACCCTTCCTTAATCCTCTTACATGTTCCTGAAGAAGTGAAAATGCCTGGACTTTTGTTATCTTACATCCTGCTTGTTGTCTTTACCCCCCCTTGAATTGAAGGTGAATTATAATATTGTACCCTTTCGCAGTTCCAGTTTCCATTCAAATAAGCTATACTTGTAACAATAAAATTGCTTTTTTATTTTAACAATTTTATTAATGTATATTTCCGTTAAGAATACCGAAAGTGGCAACGTATTTAATATTATACATTTTTCTGTTATTTACAGCAGTGGCATAGCATAACTGATCGTTTTATGCATTGAACAGCTGTGAACATAAATTGCTTTATGCGCTATAAAACTGGTTTGGGCCACCTTGCAATCAGACCACATACAAAGAATAAACAGAGGTATTTAGAGAGCAAAGGATTTATCATATAAATGAGTGCGTCTGAGGCTTGTGGTTATTTTGGGTAAAAAGAAGTACGAATTGCACAGACTGACGTGAGATGAAAGTTTAGGGACAATAGGTTTGAAGCCGAGTCTCGGGTATGCGCCATACTTGTTCCAGTAACATTTCATAGTTCTTTAACGCCCTGATGATGAAGGCAGCAAGGACCTCTGAAACGTCGGTAAACTTCTATTAGACTACATGTTACAAAAGAGACCAAACGTTTTAGTTTTTAAGAATTTGTGTACATATGTTACGTATCTTTAAATATATTTGTGATGTATAAAGTTACGTTATGGTCTGAGAGAGATCAGTGTAACTAAATTGTTAAAGGATATTTAGAAGAAAGGAAGGGCTAGAAGTGTCGATAAGACTGTGGTGTGGAAACGTGATATAGAAGCACAGGAGGAATTGAGGTAAAGATACGAAAGGAACAAAGGAAAGGAATATCAATTCGACGGGGAAATGAATTCATACTCACCGCCGTGACAAAATAATTTAGGTGGAAAGGAATACGAGAAAAAGGGAGAAGGAGACATAGATGCAAACTGGGTAAAGAAAAGGAAGAAATAAAGTTTAAGATACAAAATAAATACTAAAAATTATTCATAATCAGGACTTTTTCCACGGTCTGTTCTTTAAAACCACGACATTTCGGAGGCTGGTTCTGTCTCCGTCTTCAGGTGTAAAGTGTAAACTACCGTCGTCAAAACCCTTTTGAATTGAATTACAAAACAAATAATTCCCCATCCAATTTCAACGTGCTCGATTATGCTAGCAAGTAAATAAATGGATGCCTTTTGTTCTTTGTGTATGTGCGAAAAGTATCCACTACGCTGCGCCAAGGTACTTGGTGAATATGTGACACGTTAAGAAACTACTAGATACAAACTTCTGTTTGTTAATCTGTGAGAATAACGTAACTTTTAAGAAGTCGAATCTCCTGTGTTCCCGCCAAATGTAGTGAGTTTGGAAAGTTTGTTCGCTGTGAAGTATTTCTGCCGTCACTACAGGTTACTTTGTTTTGTGAGAGGTTATGTCGAATCGGTTGATTCATTTCTGCAGGAACACGAAGTGAAATGGATAAGAAACGTAAACCTCCTCCGGGAGGGCCAGGGATTAAGAAAATAAGGTATGGTATTACAGTGTGTGTGATTGTATGTTTGAGAATGTTTGTTTCAATTACATGTACACACATAAAATAATTTAAACCCATTTTTTTGCCATACAGTTGTACTGGCTTTCATACTGAATAATCTGCAAATCACTTGACCTCTTGAGGTAACACACCTGATGACATTCTTGTTCCCTGAAATGTTTTTGATTTACCCGAAGTCCACAGGAATCAATAATTTAGTACCAGAATGTGTGCTGTAACCACATATCATCTCATCCTTTCCAGCCACACAAACTTGTAATGGTCTGTATTAGTATTTCAATATGCAACATGTGGGATGTAAAATTTATGTCCTGTTCACTAACCTATGAAGTTTGAGATTAACTGTATGAAATATATAGTGGAAACTTCTGTGCTTGAAGTGAAACACTACAAAAGGATGCCATCCCGCTTGTCAAGGGTTCAAAAGTATAGTAAACGTTTATTGTAAGGAATGTTGTCACAAAGTTTTTACTTTTCTTTTATATTCTGCTCCATTTTGGATAGCAAGTCACTTAACGATGCTGAAGAAACATCGGTTGACTCTATGGTATTCCTTGGATGAGTTTATATTAAGACGTACAGATTTTTATGCTGCACAAAGTATGAGGGCTGTTCAATAAAGACAGAATAATTGTTTATAAAATGTTTGGAAGTCTTCAGGGTAGTGGTTGGTAGCACTGATAGATGTGAGTCAGTATCTGCAGTTATAGGCCGCTGTGTGTCTAGTTGTGCTTCTGATGTGACTTGATTACAGGCTATGCCTGTCTTGCCTCCAAATTCACACATCTGTCAGGATTAATGTTCAAGCAGAACCATATGTAAGGATAAAGAACAGATGTTGAATTATGTTTGTTAGTTTTCTGAAAAGGATTAAGATTTATTTCTGAGTGGGCTATAATTGTGTCATTCGTTACAGGGGTTCATTTGATGATGATGTCAATGATTTTCCTTGTTCCTTTGAGGATGAGCTGGCATACATGGAGCTGTTGGAGACAGAAGGCTCACAGGGGACAGACTCTCTGGAAATGGATAGCCAGGTCGGACATTACTAGTAGGAGGTAGCATGATGACCAGGATGGGAAAACCGTGACAGCATTCTTAAATAAATACAATTGAATAAAAAAAGTGTGAATTTGCAGATCTAACTATTTAAACTAATACTTTCATTCTGTTTTCTTCCAGAAAACCTGTTTTGTTTGTTTTTTTACTTTAAGAAATGTTTGTATATGATTTTGTACGGATTTTCATACAGTAAGCAACTGATGTCAGGCTTACTATGCTATTTGTCAGGCATTAAAGTACTTTCAGTTTAATTCAAATGTTGGTGTAAATTAAATATCTAAGTATGAAAGGTTTTATGAATATCAGTATCCTGTGGAACAAGTGTCTGGGTGAATTTGAGGTTAGAAAGTTACATGTTCGTAGATTAAATTTTGCATTTTGTTAATCATGTGTCTGTCTTTAAATATATACTGGTACCTGCATTTTATGTGTAATCACCGGTAACATATTTTACTATTTGTATTGCAAGGTAACCCCATTGTAAATATCATGTATATACACAGTTACTCTAAACACATTTGTATTGACCTCGAGTATCCAAGTGACTTTGTTTCTGTTGCATAACCTAGTTTTCTATGTACTCTGTGACCGTACTGAGTGTCATGCCTAGTGCTAATATTTGTGTAATTAGATAAGTAATAACTCATGGTGATAAATTGTAGATAACAGTAGATATGACCCATATATATAAATGTTGAGTTACCTAGCAGCAACCACTGTTTCCATTCAATGTGGGAAATTATAAAGGTATTTGTTTAAACTGAAGTTAGTATTGTACTTTTATTTTTATTGTACTGTAAGATATGGTGATTATAATTTTATCAGTAGGTAATTAGTGAGTGAACTGCTTCATATGTTACAGACCAAGTTAAACACTACACCATTTTGTTACCCTTTAATGTTCTGATATTGAACTTAATTTATTTAGGGTGAGAAATGTCAGTAATACATATTGCATTATATACGAGGTGCGATCGGAAAGTTTCTAGACTGCGCCTATAAAAACCCGTACACTTATCTCAGGTATTAAATTCATCCATCACCCTCGAAGTAGTTCCCCGGGGAGTGAACACAACGACCCCAGCGCCGC